CACGATGGGCACCAGCTTGGATTTGGTCTCCTCCCAGTTGGTTCCGATCTTCTCCTTTAAGCTCTTGACCACAGGCTCCAGCTTGGTCTTCATCTCCTCCATGTGCTGGCGCTGCTTGGCCGAGTACTCCTCGAAGAAAGGCTTCAGCTCGTCACTGTACTCCTGGAAGTGCTTCTCCAGCACCTGCCTCAGCTCCTTGCGCATGGGCTCGATCTTCTTGCGGAGCTCCTCCACGTCTTTGATCAGCTTCTCACGCCTGTCTTTAGTGGCGTCCAGCATCTGGGTGCTGAATGGGCTGATGGTTTGGAAGCCGTCCTGAAAGTAGCCGTGGAGGTTGTCCACAGACTGGCCCAGGAATTCCCTAAACAGAGGATTTAGGTTAGCTGTCACTGGAATAGTTGACATTGTGCACCTTCTTAAGATGTAATGTGGAGAGTTACTTAAACTTACTCAAAGCATGAAATCAAAATCGACTCTTTAAAGTAAAGCCATTTCTACTCCGATAACATAACTAAAACTGCTTTTGAGCGGCCCCTGCTGATCCCTGATACAGCCACTCTATCCAGACCTGTATGTGCTGTCTTTGCGCTTTCTTACTTGTAGTCTTTGAACTCGGTGTCGTCGAGGTGAGTGAGGGCCTTGTGTGCCGACTGCTTCAGCTGATCAGCGTAAACCTGGAACGCAGACTTCACATGCTCCAGCTGCGACGGCGGCTCGTCCTGCTGGAATCGGGCCTGGCAGCCTGAGCAAAGCACACGCAGATTCAGACGCTTGAGTCTGGAGCAAGGGCCGAGCTTGATGTGTTCAGTTAGAGTTATAGAGTTACAGTTTAATCTGAATACAGCTAACTGAATACAGTAGCAAAAAAATAATAATAATTTTCATTTCTTAATCACTATTTTACTCTCGTTTCTCAGTAAAAATATCTAAACATCTTTTGATCATTTTAAATTAAAAGCTAAATTGTGAGATATTAGAAAATATTTTTTTAAGTTTATTTCTTACCCCCCTGGCATAAACTAGCAAGAACCTCTTAAAACCAGAATAAATACTAGAAGGTTTAGAAACAAGATATCTACATGTATTCTTTGAAAACAAGACTTAGTATCTTAACAAAATGTATCTGGGTTTACATTTTAAACTGGAAAACAAGACAAAAATGCTGATT